AATTCTTATTCTGGATTAGTTGGAGACATACACTAGGCTATATCAGCCCCACCAAAAATATTTTTCACCAGCCGCCACTGGCTTCAGGTCCCTGTTTACCTCGCATAAGCCGCCTGCGCATGCCTAGTGATTTTTGTCAGCAGTTTGGGTGTAATTCTGTCACAGCGCCACCAAGAGGCCTGGCATACGTACAAGACTATATATATATATTTTTTTTTTTTTCCTTGGCTGTGTAGGAAAAGGTACTGTTCGTCTTCATGAGGAATAGCTCACAATCTTTAACAAAAAGTAACAAAAGAATTGCATTAAGCTGAAAAATTTAAAACGGAAGTAAAAACTTTTTGAAACAGAAAAGGAAAGGTTTTTTAAAAAATTCTGATGTGCAACTTGCGATTTATGGAGCAAAATTTAATAGAGTCATTAAGTTTGTCAAAAAAAAACTTTTCTTTTCCTACCAAAAACAAAAAAATTATTCAAACTGAAAAATGATTTAAAAGTGAAATTTAAACAAGACTTTAAAAAAGGAAGCGCAAGAAAATAAAAATAAACAGAAGAAAAACAATCAAGAGAAAAATAATTTGAGAAAAATAAATACATTTTCTTGAAATTATCTTCCACTGATTGGAGGAGTTGGACTCTTTGGAAATGGAATAAAAAGATTTACTTTTAAAATGAGTAGGAAAAGGTACTGCATATGTCTCATGGAGAATAGCTCACGATTTCTATTTATTTCCCGTTCAGCATTTAAAGTAGTATTCTCAATTTGACAACTAGTTAAAGGCAATATATATATATATGTATTTAAATTCAGGTGTCATGGGGTTAACATGACTTTTAAAAAAATGGTTTGGTTTTCTGTTTTATCTAAAAAAAAAAAAAAACACAAGATCTGATTTGTGTCATCTTATCAGGATGATGGCAGAGATAAAATACTTCCCACACATAAAGGAAAGGAAATGAAACATTTATGTCATTGAACATTTTGGCTTTTATATGGTGCAACAACACTACATTTCATTGGGCTTACTAGTCATAGCCTGACAAAAAGAAGAACAGAATTGTTAAGCAGAAGGAAGATCAATTTGAAACTGGTTAAAACATTTTTAAAAAGAACAAGTAATGAACCACAATCCTAAACAGACCATCCCCACAATAAAACATGGTGATGGCAGCGTCATGCTTTTTTTTTTGCAGGAAGAAGAAAGTGGTTAATGGAGGAGATGAGAAAGAAGGAGGAACTGAAATCCAGAACTGAACCGAGCTATAGGTTTCCCTTCCAGCCAAAAAACTAGCATTTATCGTATCTTTATCGTTACCGTGAGGAGTTTCCAACCATGATAAATATTTTGATCTATTATCTGAGGGTTTAATATGAATTTTCATCTTTACAATTTTTACTTCTTTCTTTTCCATTGGGACATTGAGAGATGTGATTAAATGTTGTCGCTTTGAGATGTTTAGTTTCCTCAAGAAGACAAATTTCAATGTAGATATTCCTGAAGATATTATTTGTGATGTTGGGGCTATGATGACTGTGATAAGTAGTCAGAGGAATTTACAGTAGCAGCCATTAAAAATGGCCCCTTACAGACAAACGCCAGCCGAATGGCAGCCGTCTTCCCTGCAACTCCCAGCAAAATCCCCACCAACTTCCAACCACTGGAGTGACCCCACCTTTTCACGCGCTAGGCGCTTCTCTTTAGATCTGCATGTCCACAAATCATGACAGAAAGAATATTTTAGTACAAAATTAAAGTTTAAAAAGGAATTGTAGGGGACCAGCCAAGGGCATATCAAGGAAAGGGGGGAAATTTTGAATGGCTACTACTGTTGTTACCAAAGAAATCATCATTTTTATCATTATCACCATCGTGATAAGAATTAATGTGCATATCACCCAGCTCTACACACAACCTATCTAAACATGCAAAGGGAGCTGCAGTAGTTAGGTCTCATCAAAGCATATCCATGTGTTTTTAGTCAAGTCAAACTCTTTACTAGACTGATTCTAAATTAAATCTATGGCAAGACTCGACAATTGATGGGATTCCCACACTGAAGTCTCTACAAAGCAGATTCCACGACCTTCCGGACAAGATGTTCCCTAAAAGGTTGTTTTTGCAAGAGATAAACTGAAACATTGGCCAGCCGAATTTTATGGCCAATATTAGCATTTTTTTTTTTTTGGGTGGTTTTTATGTACAGCGCCTTGGAGAAAAATTCGCCCTCATTGAACTTTTCAACCTTTTGTCACGTTTCAGGGTTCATAAAAACATTAAATTGTAGTATTTGTGAAGAATCAACAACAAACCAAAGAGAGGGCCATGCCTCACGTTAATTAGTTGATCTCCTATTTGTACAAGTTAACCAGTTACTTATCCATAATATAGTGAAGTAACCAACACACTATGTGAGGAAATAATTGATTTAGTTCCCATTCACCCAGTTTTCACTACAGTAGGCTGTAGAAGCTGAAGGCAGTCTGGGGCATGTTAACTGTAAAATGGTTTTGTGTGGAGGAATGCAGACTTATTGGGGGGGTGGGGTTTAAAGAGGCTAGGATGATACGCGGTGTTCTGGACAGACAATCCCAACACGTACCATGACCACTTCACCACTAACTCATGTCTAAAGTTCAGATGGCGAGACAGCAGGAAGCTGAGGTCTTTCTGCATGTATCTGTGTGTGGGGTAGAGTGGGGGATGCTCAGCCGAACACTGTCAGAAAATGATGGAAGGATGTTTTTCTTCTGCTCGCTATTCAGTCCAGTCTACCCTGAAGATTACGCCTCAGACCCACAAGCAGTTTACAGACGGCCCAGTTGGAGAGGCTTCGTTTTCTAACACTGTAAGGACCAAGACAGGAAAGCATCAAAGGCGAGAGAAGTAGATGATTACACTACTTATGACTCTCTGCAGAAAACCAAGATTTAGCACCAGAGAGAAAGACCTGACAAGTGCTGGCGAGAGCTGCTGAAACCGAAGAGTGTGCTACTTACAGATTTATGTTGTCTTTGAACCAACATATTATAAGAGAAAAAATGAAACCTGGAGTTCTCCATGGATACCGGTGGGAACTGCAACCCTAAAACAGCACCCCAGTGAAGACAGCTGCTGGTTGAGCTCTTGGTGGAAAGTAACAAGGGTAGTGTTAAAAAAAAAAAAATTTTGTCCTGGCAATACAAGCAAAATGAATTTAATGAATAAAATCTGACGTATGATCCAGATGCTGTGCCTTAATTGTGTGATTTATAGTAAGCAGCAGGCCGCGCTGCGCTGTCTGCACATGCAGTTTTCATGTTCCACTAATAAATACAGGGTCCTGAACTTCATTCCTTCTCAAATATCACTACTATATATTTTCAGAGGTTAGTATAGAGTACATATTTAATCTTTGAGTATTCCCCTTAGTCACATTATGACACAGACTACCTGTTAACATTTAAAGTGAGGCATTTAATAGAATAATAAAAAAGTGGCTAAGGTTATATTAAAATTTGCTCCCATTTTTCTCAGTAACTTTATGTTCTCTCAGCTTTTGTTTCATACTAAATAATGCTATATTCCTGTCCCATCAAAAAATGACGACACCTGCTCGTGACCTGCCTGGTTGTTTTTAAAGTCGTAGGGAAATGACCGTTCCAACCGTTTCATTTCCGAATTCTCCCGAGTGGTGCACGACTTTACACGAGTGAATAAAGTGAATTTGATGGTCAATTATCAAGGGGGTGGGATTGTTGTGGCGGAAGGTATGCAAGCAATTTTT